CCTCCCTCACAGTCACGGAGGAACCAACCCTGTTCACACTCTAATCTTGGACTTCCAGCATCCAGAACTGGGAGAAGATTCATTTCTGCTGTTTAAGTGTCCCAGGCTGTGGTGATATGTTATGGCAGCCCTAGCAAACTAATAAAGGGAAGGAGGTAGTATGTTATGTGCAAATGCAACAGGTCACATTTCATTACAGACCTAAGGAATAAGTAATAGAAAATCAGGAAGCGTCTGGGTGGCTCAGTCAGCTGAGCATCTGACTTTGGCTCAGGTCATGATCTCACTGCTAGTGAGTTTGAGCCCTGCATCGGGCTCTGTGCTGCCAGCTCACAGCTCGGAGCCTGGAGCCTGCTTCAGATTCTGTCTCTGTCTCTCTGCCCCTCCCCTGCTCACATTCTGTGTGTGTCTCTCTCTCAAATATAAATAAATATTAAAAGAAAAAGAAAAAGAAAATCAGATGAAGCAGGGGCTGGGGCAGGGGAGTGTTCTGGGCAGAAGGAACCAGATTTGCACTTATTAATCTGTTTTTAAATTTTCTGTATCTTATGATGTCTTGACATTTTAACAAGCTTGCTGGCCAGCAGAGACTGTCCCTCCCAGGCCTTGGCTAGCCAGTTCTTAGAGATAGCAAAGGGCTCCATCAATCAGTATAAACCAACCAATCCCAAGTATGCAGACCCAGCCACCTCCATATCGAATGATCACATAGAAGCCAATATTTCCTTGCACCTAAAATCATCCCAGGGCCAGGTGCCAAGCCAACCCTATAGCCCAAAGCCTGCTGGAATGATTCCAACTAGCTAATCCTAAACCACTTACTCTAAATAGAATGGAAACCCCAGTACAAGTTCTGACTCAGGCTCTCCCCCTCACCCCTGTCTTCTGCAACCTGACCACAACCTGGTGCTTCCCCTGTGGCCCTGCATGGTATGTGGTGACCCCCTCTCTGGAACCTGTGAGTAGAAGAGATTTCTTCCTTCCAAGTCTCAGGTTTTGTTTCCTCCTGTGGCTGCATGACTTACACCCAACATTCGTGTTCTTTGGTTTCAAGGACAGGTGCAGGGGTGGGGAGAGAAGCGGGGAGAAGGAAAACATAAGGTCTAACTCACCTTGATGAATGAGGAAGATACAAAATTAAACACTTGGAGAAGAAATCTTTCTGCCTAGATTCTAATGGCGAAAGGCCAATGAGGAGATGCTACCATCAGGATCAGAATATCTGGCTTGAGGGACATCAGCCAGTGGTGGCAAGAAGGATCAGCCTCCTAGGAGCAAAGACGAAGACATTGTTAGGAACAGTTATTAATACTAGCAAACAGTTGAGAGTTTCCTGTGCCCCAGGCACCTCTTCTATACGATTTGTTAACTCATTTACAACACGACTATGAAGTAGGTATAATTAGCATTTCCATTTTACAGATTAGAAGTTAATTACTTTGCTCATGATCTCACAATTAGTGTCAGGACATATATTCCTCAGCGTTGAACTGTGTGTGCACAGGTTTACTGTAAGACTGAAAATGGGGGCTTGCGATGGGGATTTTCTTAGGTGGGCAGGACAGCATATGCAAAGGCTGAAATGAAAGACAGTGAGGGAAGAGAGAGCTCAGAGTGTAGATGATCTTAAAGAGTTGTTGCAGCAAATCCACATCTCTCTCTGGACAATATCTCAGCTTAGTACAAATAAGGAGGACTACAGAGGTTTTGCTGTTACCCGAGTGGTTTCTCTGATCTCCACGTTGGCCATCAGTGTCTGTGGTGAGATGAAGTCTCCTGGACATAACTGCTTATGGGGTAATAAGGTAATAACTACATTAGAGCTAATAAAAGAATATATTAATAGTATCACTATTGTGATATTATTGTATACCAGGTATATCTTCTATATAACCTATATGAACTACACATGCTAACTCATTAATTATATTCAAAAACACTTTGAGGAAGGGAGAATTAGATGTCCCTTTTTTTTTTTTTTTAATTTTTTTTTTTCAACGTTTATTTATTTTTGGGACAGAGAGAGACAGAGCATGAACGGGGGAGGGGCAGAGAGAGAGGGAGACACAGAATCGGAAACAGGCTCCAGGCTCTGATCCATCAGCCCAGAGCCCGACGCGGGGCTCGAACTCACGGACCGCGAGATCGTGACCTGGCTGAAGTCGGACGCTTAACCGACTGCGCCACCCAGGCGCCCCTAGATGTCCCTTTTATAGGTACCAAAAAACTAAAAGGAAATGGCTTAAAAACAAATAAAACCATGAAAGCTCCACCAGGCAAATAAATGGGGTGGAGAGTAGTCAGAAAGGGAGTATCATGGGCAATACATCTCCCATCACTGCTGGGAGATCTGAAAATATTCTTCATCTGTGTCCTAACTCTGTTATAGAAGCTCTGTATGTTAGTGTTTAAAAATGCAAGAATAAACAGGTTCTTGAAGTCAAATCATTTACTGAAAAAAGCAAGTTTTAGAACAATACATGCAACATGTGGTAAGAATCCCAAAACTGAAGTCCAAACTATTATATGCTTTCTATGGGAACATGTCTGTGCATGTAAATGAATAGAAAAAGATTTGGGCAAACAGGAAGTAAAAAGCACTTAATTCTCCAAAGGGGGAACATGGGACAGAATCTAGAAAAATGGAACGTGACTCACACGGAATGTTTTATATATATTTTCCCAGAAGGGTTTACCTATTCCTTGCGTAATGATATTAATAAACATTTTGTTTTGAGAAGGCATGTGTTTGACTCTAGAAAAGCACACCCTTAAGGCATTAGTGAGCATAACAGAGAAAATGCTTTGAGGTAGTTATAAAAGATGATATACAAAAGGGGTGCCTTGGTGGCTGAGTGGGCTGGGCGTCCAACTCTTGAGTTTGGCTCAGGTCATGATCTCGCGGTGTGTGGGGCCCAGCCCCGAGTCCCAAGTCGAGCTCTGTGCTAACAGCACAGAGCCTGCTTCTGTCTCCCCCTCTCTCTGCTCCTCCCCCACTCGGGCACTTGCGTGCACACTCTCTCAGAATAAACATTAAAAAAAAAGTGATGTACAATAAAAAATTTATTTCTGCACTGTAAAATTTGAGAGGTTCGTTCTAGGATTTCTGGCCAGCAAGTTTGATATGTTTGCTCCGGGAGGAGCTACTTTATACAGCTAGCAGTTATGAGTAGGTACTGAGTAACCTGAAGTTCCTTTTTATAAATATGTCCTTACACTTTCATGTTAAGAACTTATTGGAAGGAGTCATTCCAGACACTAAAATGTTTTAAGTGTTCATCTGAGCAATAAAATCGTTCATGTACGCGTTTAATTGCAGGGTTCTCTTTATGAGTTTGCACACAAGTGAGAAAAAATGATGGGTCAGTTAGACAGCAGAATTCTTGCACTATTAGGTGAGGAGAGGAGAGGGATGTTAAGAAGACCTGAGAAAGGTGAGTAGGAAAGAACCAGGTGAAATGGGGGCTGGGCAGGCAGTGTGGAACACAGGTGGAGGCACAGGTCCGGCTGAGGGTTTGGAGGCCCAGTGGCTAACTCAGCTCAGAAAAATATCCCAGAGTAAGCCCGGATAAAAAAAAGACCAACGGAGAGACTACTCCTTGGACTCAGAGTTTCCCTGGTGGGGAGTTTGGTACTGTTAATAACCCTGTTTTACACTCAGGAAAATGAGGTAGGAGGTTAAGTAACTAGGTTAACACATCAGTACAAATCTAGCCTTGCCAGGGATCCCCAAATATTTCCTACTGTAGCCTAATGACTCCCCCAACAGCTCTGAATAAGCTGACTGAGAGACACCACGAAACAAACTGAAAACAATGAAGAATAGACCTACTTCAAGGCAGAGGGTTCTCAAAGAACCAGAGAAAAAAGTGAGTCGCAGAACAATATGTAAAGTTGCACCTTGTGAGGCAATTAAAACACAAACCCTAAATAATATGTATTTTCTGTGGGGTTATGTGTATGTACAAATAAGCATAAAAATATAGAGGCATCTGGGTGGCTCAGTGGGTTAAGCCTTGGATTCTTGGTTTCTGTTCAGGTTGTGATCTCACAGTTCCTTGGATTGACCCTCGAGTTGGGCTCTGTGTTAAGTGCACAGAGCTTACTTGGGATTCTCTCTCCCTCTCCCTCTGCCCCTCCCCTGCTGGCGTGCACTCTCTCTCAAAATAATAAATAAACTTAAAAAATATATGTGTATATATACATATAAATATATTTGTACAGCCTGGGGCGCCTGGCTTGCTCAACTGTGGAGTATGCGGCTCTGGGTTAGGGGTTGTGAGTTAGTGCCCCGTGTTGGGTGTAGAGATTACTTAAACATAAAAAAATCTTGGAATATCTACATACTGGAGTTACATAGACAGTATGTAAGCAAATATATTTATTGGGATTTGTGTGTATATAAATACAATCATATACACGTTTTATATGTATAAAATTATCTATATTTTATGCATTTACATACATGCATATGTATATATGTGTACACACATACACCCACGCATATATGCTTACATTATTACCTGGCGTTTATGTTTTACTGTCTTACAATATGGCATTTTACATACTGATCCCCAACTTGTTTATATATGTGCGTTTGATAATGAAATAATAATCAGGACGCTCAATTTATAAATTGCTTACTTCAGGGGAGGGGAGAAAAACCGAGACTGGGTGTAATGGCCAGCCGGAACTCTAGACCTTCTCGAGGACCGCCGAGAGGGGCGGCCGGGAGCTCAGGTTGGGGACCCCCGGCCGTGGCAGGAACCCAGAGTCCACGCCCCTTGGGCCTCAACGCGAGACCAGCCCACCAGAGCGCCTGCGCGTGGGTTGCGCCTCTGCAGAACGAGCCCATCCTTACTCCCGGGAGAGGCGAAGGGCGGAGCCTGCGGAAGGGCCCGCCCCCGCCAGCGGCGCGCGGGAGGCCAGGCGGGTCTTCCGCCTTGCGTGGGGCTACTTCCGGATCCGGTGGCGAAAGGCGCGAGGTCCGAGTGCGGCGGCGCTGGGCTGGCGGGCTGGCGGGCTGGCGGGCTGGCGGGCTGGCGGGCTGGCCCTGGGCGGGCGGTGGTAGGAAGTAGCTCCCGGCCCCGGGGGGGAGGGCTGGGACCCCAGGCGTGTTGGCTAGGGGTCAGGTTGGCTCTTCTTGTAGAGGGAACGGCTTGTGGACCAAGAGCAGGGTGTTGGAAGATGTGTGTGCAGCACACCTCAGTTAACCGTTGAAAAGAAGCTGTAACCGTCAGAAAATCTTCTCACCTTAAAGCAGGAGAGTAAAGGATGTCAGAGGCAGACACTCCCAACAGGCTCAGAGTTACTCTGATTTGGAAGATGATACTTAGCGCACGGCAGCTAGAATCCAGTCTCCCAGGAGCCAAGACTAATGGAGCAGACCTAATCAAAGAAAATAACGCTACTGGGTGATAAAGAGTTGGCCGAAAATATGTCAGTGGGTTTAGTTCTCACCGCTATCCCAGAAAGTTAGCTGGTAGCAGAATCTTCTTGACAAAGGAACTGGGGCACAGGTTAAATACTGTGTTTAAAATCACAGCTGGTAGCGGCAGAAGTCCCTGTAAACGTTGAAATGGATACAGATGTTGTTTTTCAAGTTGTCTGTATTATGGACATATTGGAGAGGCCTAATTCCCCTTCAGCTTGGGGGATGGCTCAATTAACCACGGACTATCCAGTTATGGAATACTGTTGTCCTAACGTGGGAAGTTCCCCCAGGACATATTTTGGAATGGAGAGCAAAATGCACTTTGCAGAACAATATGTATTTCATCATTGTTTTAGGCAAAACCAGTCCCTCAAAACAGTGCTGCTTTAGTGTGGTAGACATCAATGGTAAGTGAATAGAAGAAAAACTGAATAAGCTATACTAAACTGTTACAGTGACCAGGGGAGGGAAGGGGGCAGGGATTTATGGGAGTTATGGTAAAATAGAAGTTTATTCTCTCTCCTGGTTTTTGGACAGGGATGTAGTCAGAAAAACATGTATATGTTCCTTATATAATAATTTTAAAGTGACTAAAAATTACTGTTTTTTAAATTTATTTATTTAGAAAGAGAGAGTGAGGGGAGAGGGGCAGAGGGAGAAAGAGAATCCCAAGCAGGCCCCACACTCAGCACAGAGCCAGACATGGGGCTCGACCCCATGACCCTAGGACCATGACCTGAGCTGATATCAAGAGTTGGGCGCTCAACCACCACTAAAAATTACGTTTTTTATCCTTTGAGCGCCCAGTCCATTATACATGGCATTTGAATAATTTGGGAGATAAAATGCACCATTAAAGGGTGAAGAATTGGGGGTTATGAGAATATGAATATAAAAATATTCTTGGGGAATCCCCAAAAATGACATTAAAAGACATTTGAAACAGTGCAGTATTTCATTGTTTAGTCTCAAGGAGCTTACAAAACTTTACACCTGTTCTAGGTCGACATTACATAGCTTATTGGATGGAAACCAAAAGCTGTTAATATCTGCTTTTTCAAATATGCATCCTGATATTTTTAGTTGAAATATATTTTAAAAGTTTATTTATTTGTTTTGAGAGAGAGAGGGTGCCATGAGGCTCTGCACTTTCATCCTGGAGCCCAATGTGGGGCTCGAACTCATGAACTGCAAGATCATGACCTGAGCTAAGTCATTGCTTAACAAGCTAAGCCACCTGGGCACCCTTCAGTTGAAATATTTTATAGCAGAACTTTATAAAATGGGGATTTTTTACTTACAAAGTTATTCATTTTAATATTATGAATGATGTGCTAAAATCTTATACGTAACAGTTTCAGAACCCTTTTTTAAAAATTGTTAAAAAGAAAAAACCCATCTCTTGCACATTGCCCTGGGGCTGAGGCCCCCAAACCAAAAGACATAAGTCCCAGGATTGAAATGGGATTTTCAATGGGAAATGGGATCCACTCTAATTGGCAATAACCACTTGAAGTTGCCATTGAAAATATATCAGTTGACGCGAGGAATGTAAGAACCAATTTTGATTTGAAGATCCCTAGGTTACTCACTTTATTTGGGAAAGTAAAGAAGAAAGTAGAAATAGATGTAGTCACCTGAAAAGTCCCCTTTTCTTTGGGACTTCTGTCAAGTGGTTGGAAAGATCCCACTAAGTTAGAGTTCTAATCCTGATGACGTCACAACCGTTGCTTGGTAGCAAACCAGCTCAACAATTTTTTTAAGATTTTATTTTTAATCTCTATACCCAACATGGGACTCAAACTCACAACCCTAAGATCAAGAGTCACATGTTCTATGACGGAGCCAGTCAGGCACCCCAGATAAACAGAATTTTCAAGAGGTGTTAGTTTAGGGCATTCCTCACCCTGATAAGATGCTAGAAGTCTAGTTTAGCATGTGTATTCGTTGTTGCTGTGTAACAAATTATCCCCATGAAAACATACCTTTTCCCCCACCATTTCTGAGGGTCAGGAATCTGAGAGCAGCGTAGTTTGGTAGTTCTGGCTCAGTCTTTTGGGTTGCAGACAAGCAGTTGTCCTGGGCAGTAGTCACCTACCATCTCAAGATGGCAGCATCCCAAGGCATCTGGCTTGCTCAGGTGGTGGAGCGTGCAACTCTTGATCTTGGGGTTGCGAGTTCGAATTCCACGTTGGGTATGGAGATTACTTAAAAATAAAGTCTTTAAGGGGCGCCTGGGTGGCTCAGTCAGTTAAGCATCTGACTCTTGAGTTCAGCTTAGGTCATGATCTCACGGTTCGTGGGTTCGAGCCTTGCATCAGGATCCTGTGGAGCCTGCTTGGGATCCTCTCCCTCTCTCTGTGAGCCTCCCCCTCTTTGGCCCCTCTACCCTCTCAAAATAAATAAGCAAACTTTTTTTTAAAAGTCTGGAAAAGGGGCGCCTGGGTGGCTCAGTCGGTTAAGCGGCCGACTTCGGCTCAGGTCACGATCTCGCGATCCGTGATTTCGAGCCCCGCGTCAGTCTCTGTGCTGACCGCTCAGAGCCTGGAGCCTGTTTCAGATTCTGTGTCTCCCTCTCTCTCTGCCCCTCCCCTGTTCATGCTCTGTCTCTCTCTGTCTCAAAAATAAATAAACGTTAAAAAAAAATAAAAAAAAAGTCTGGAAAAAAAAATGGCAGGGGCGCCTGGGTGGCTCAGTCGGTTAGGCGTCCAACTTTGGCTCAGGTCATGATCTCAAGTTTGTGGGTTCGAGCTCCGCGTTGGGCTCTGTGCTGTCAGTTCAGAGCCTGGAGCCTGCTTCAGATTCTGTGTCTCCCTCTCTGTCCCTCCCCCACTCACACTGTCTCTGTCTCAAAAAATGAATAAACGTTAAAAAAAAAAAAACAAACAAACGATGGCAGTATCCCATCTACTGGGGATGAAGACTCTGCTCCAAGTGCACTTCTGTATTGCTGGAAGGCCTCAGTTCCTCATCAGTTGGGCCTCAGTATTATGGCTGGTCACAACATGCCAGCTTGTTTCCCCCGAGTGAGAGATGAAGGAGAGAGAGCAAGATGGAAGCCACAGTGTCTTTTAAACTAATGAAGTTTCATATCATCTATTCTCTGTGTGCTAGTGATCCTACAGACCGACCTTAGTACAATGTGAGAGGGAACTTGAAAAGAGTATGAAGACCAGGCAGCAGAGATCATTGGACGCCATCTTGAAGGGCAACTTCTATGGTGTGGGGCCATTTTCCAAACTCTCACTCCCATTGATAATTACCAGATACCTACAGGGTGCCTAAAGCTATAATAGAAATAAAGGAATTAGAAACAATGTAGAAATTGGGAGAATACAACACTGGTACAATTTCCTTACCATCCGATGAATGAGTCCTCAGGGAAGAAGATAAAACGTATACGGCCACAGTTTTACACAGCATACTAAACTCAGTATTAGTTACCTTGTATAATATTCTGAAATCTCTCTTTGTTGATCCATCCAGCTGGTTTTAATTACCCACTATATAAATGAGATATTTCTACGTTTTCCATCTTATTACTCCCAAACATGTATGGAAATGCCATTAAATTTTTACTATTGAGGTTTATAGTACCTGTGTTGGGTAACCATAATATATAACATGATGATTAATAAAGGTAGTAGTGGAGGCTTCCTCTGATGATCCTGATCCTCCTCCAATTGAGAGAACTGACTTTGAAGTTCATATGGATATTGATGGGAAAGCTTCATTCACATTAGGGAGCTTGATACTGGGATTGGTAGAGGAGAGACTGGATTGGCAATTTGTGCACACACCTACATACACAAGTGGACAAATACAGACAGACACACACCTACACTACCCAAAAGAGGAAGTTCTACTCTGGAATGTGAACTGTTTGTTTCATGGTTTCTGGAATTGTTTTTCTAGTTTGAATTAAATTGAAAGATGCACCTGACTCTAGTAGCAAAAAGCACTGATAGTCCATGGCATGACGTGGCAACAGAGATACACACAATATTGCCTTGCATTCTTGTAATCAACTTTGAGAAAACCCATCCTTGCCATGAAGAAGTCTCCATCTCTTTAGAGAGTTTGTCTTTGCTTCACTGTGAGGGAAAAGCCATAATGCACCTGCAGTATAGGTAGAGAAGGTGGATGAAGGGGCCAACTATGCAGCCAATGGCCAACAATTGTTAAGCCACTGAGATTTCTGTCCTCCTTCTTGTGTGACTCCATCACTGCTCTAGAGGCTGTAACCTCAAGAACAATTTCCACCTATGCTCTGGCACTCTCTCATGAATGCTTAAGTCATGGGTCTTACATTTCTGTTCATTCACCAGTGTCATCCCATAGTCTACTGTGAGAGTGGTCCAAGCAGAGACTGGCAAGGAAGGCTGGAGTAACTCTTGAAAGGCTTTGTAAGCCATGCAGAGGAGTCTGAATTTTGTTCTAAATGCATTGGAAGGGCTGACCCATCATAAGACCCAACTGGCCCTCCTGCTTTCATCTTCAGTTAACTACTTTCATTTTGAGAAATATCTTTTGGCCTGGTACTGGGCCTTAGTAGAGACTGAATGCTTAGGTATGGGCCATCACATTACCATGTAACCTAAGCTGCTTTTCATGAAATGGGTGTTACCTGACCCACTAAGCCACAAAGTTGGGTGTGTGCAGAAGCACTCCATCATCAAATGGAAGATCATGCCCAAGTAGGCCCTGAATGTACAGATTCCATGGAGAAATGGCTCGAATGCCCATGGCTTCCACTTTTGCTATAATATCTTCTCTCTGCAAGCCTGCATGTATGGCTTCATGGGGGGAGTTCTCTATGGCCAGAGCTTACACAGAGAGAGGGAAGACTTGGCCTTTGTTTATAGATGGTTCTGCACAATAGGCAAAGTGGACAGCTGCAGCACCTTGAACCTAGTTGAATCATAGTAGCAGTTTTATAATATTCATTTGCATATGTAATATGTTTATTTCCTTATTGATGTAATAAACAAGGGAGTCCAAAAGGAATCCAGCCCCAGAGGAATCTCTTTTTGGGGTGACCAAAAGTGTTCTAAAATCAGATAGCGTTGGGGCATGTGGGTGGCTCAGTCCATTGAGAGTCTTACTCTTGATTTCGGCTCAGGCCATGATTTCACGGTTTGTGAGATTAAGCCCCGTGTCTGGGTGTGTGCTGACAGCACAGAGCATTCTTGGGATTCTCCCTCTCCCTCTCTCCCTCTGCCCCTCCCCTGCTGGTTCTCTCTCTCTCTCTCTCTCAAAATAAATAAATGAACATTAAAAAAATATCAGATAGTGGTGATGGTGGCCCAACTCTGTGTATCTAAAAACCAGTAATTTGTACATTTGAAAATAATTTTAGAATGAGTTTTATGGTATATAAATTATCTCAATAAAGCTGTCATAAAAACATAGATAGCAATGACAGATGACGTGGGAAAAAATCCTGGCCCCAGATACAGCAGGTTGTGTGGCCTTAGGTGAGGTATTTATTTGAAAAGCTCTCTTTGCGTCTATATTTGCAACTATAAAATAGGATAATTACAGCACTTAGCTTGTAAATTTGTAATGAGGATTGAGTGAGTTAATATTTGTGAAAGCACAGAACAGGGTGAAGGAGTGGAATTGACACAGTGCTCAGTAAACATTGCAATTATTATTATTATTATTTTAATGTTCATTTATTTTTGAGAGGGAGAGAGACAGAGGATGAGTGGGCAAGGAGTAGAGAGAGAGGGAGACACAGAATCTGAAGCAGGCTCCAGGGTCTGAGCTGTCAGCACAGAGCCCTACGCGGGGCTCGAACTCATGAACCATAAGATCATGACCTGAGCCGAAGTTGAATGCTTAACCGACTGAACCACCTAAGCACCCCTGCAATTATTATTTTGTTACTACCATCAAAAAACCTCTGCGACCTATGCTGTATTGTTTTCAATGTTCATGAGAAGACATGTAGACATACACATATATACGTATCGTTGGGCACATCTGGAAGTGTCTAAAGAAAACCTCAATGGAGATTAAATTACTGGATCTTGAGTATGCGTCATTTGACTTTACTCACTATCACTAAATAGCTCTTTAGTGATGTATGATAGCTCCTTTTCTCTACATCCCCAACCACACTTGGTATGAAAGACTAATTTTGCAAAAATGACACTTTGAAATGATATTTCATTATTTAATTTGCCTTTACCTGCCTCTGGTGAAAGTTGTGTGTCTTTTTCTATGTTTATTGGCAATTTGGGTTCCTGTCCAGTTAATTGCATATTTAATATTGCATGTTCATATGCTATATCATGTTTCTATTTTTTAATTTATAGGCAGCCCAGATATATTCTGGACACGGAATAAAGGTTGACCCTCATGTTTTAGATATGGACAAATGGGTGGATTGTGTGCTACCTAAATGAATGAAGAGAGGTAGTGGGAAACAAATTTTAGGAGAAATATCAAGAGTTTGCTTTCAGAAATTTGAGATGCTTTCGAGTCGTCCAAGAGAAAAAGTCTGTGCTGCAGAGATACATTTGGGAGTTGTCAGCCCACAGATAGTATGCAAAGTGATAGCAATGCATGTGGTTATCTCCTGAGCGAATGTGGGGTGACATGACAAGAGCAGAATTATGCTTTTGGAGGGGGAGAGTCCAGAAACTGATACTGAGATCGAGGGCTAGTAAGATAGAGAAAAACTCGAATTTTTCTAGAAAAACTAGATATCATGGAAGATAAGAGAGGAATGTGCTCCTGCCTAACCCCCCATTTTTGTAATGGCTGCATCAGGTTTCATTGCAAGGGTGTACCATAACTGCTCCTCTTCTTGGAATTTGGATTTATTCCAGTGATTTTCTATTATAAACTACACTTTGATGAACACTCTTATAGATTTATCTTTTTTCACCACTCTGATTATTTCCTTTGTATATACTCCTGCATGTAGGTTTAAGAGTATGCCTATTTAAAACTTTTCACTTTAAGTTGAACATGGTCTTCTAGAAATGTTATTTTCATT